ATCGGGCAATGGTTTGTTCGATTTTTTGCCCTTCCGTTCACAACTCTCTGCGGCGATAGCCATCATAAGATCATCAGGTAATTCTCACCTATCCTTATTTCTAAGGTTTTGCATTAAATTTTAAAAATGAACGTAAAGGTACAATCTTGTTCGTTTGATAACAAAGAAAAAATTAAAGGGTACAATCTTGTCCATACCGTTTATCTTAAAATCGAATAAAAACATTATCTGATCCAGACTTTGTACGCATTTTTTTACTCAGTAGTCAGTACGTTTCATTTTCATTTAAGACCTATTAAATCTTTATGTATAAATTTTGAACCATTAGTTAACCAAAAACAAAAGATAGAGTAATGCATCAATGGCCTTAATAGAGGTAGTTAGTCCATAATTGAAGAAGAAAGACAAAGTAATCAGGTTACTTTTGAATTAGTATTGTATAAAATTATAACTCTTGGATCTAATCCAACTAGGCAACTACCGATATTTAAATACGAGATTATCAGGAAAACAAAGTGTTATATATAGAATTCTACACGTAACTTTAATTTGTTTTCTTGATCAAGAGGAGACGCAAGAGACGTTCAGAGATGTGAATGGGAAGTGTGTGGGAGCCACGATAATTTCATCTACACTGTTTGCTACATCATACGGTTTGACCAACAATGGTAATTATTTTCATTTTACTTATACGTTTTCATTGATTTTACAGAGAATAATTAATATTCTTACTTACGCCTACCTTTATGTTTCAATATTCTCCGGATTTAGGCATTATATTCACTGGTTATCCGGTCGTTGGAAGCCAAGACCGTATGATGTCGTCAGGATCATGTCTAGACAGCCTTCAAGATGGATTGATCACGGCGTGTGCGTGGGACTCACGCATAAGAGGCGAATTTTTCATCAAACAACTTTTAGTGTCCCTCTCACCCAAGTTAAAAGTTTTATCAGCGACATCAAATCACTTGTAAAGATCGAACCAAAATCTCTGTGTGGCCTTGAGCTTCACTATGGTATTCTAATGCGTTATGTCACATCATCTCCCGCTTATCTAGTGAAAGAAACCGAAGCTCTAGACTTTGACATAACATATTACCGAGCTAAAGACCCGTTAACACCGCGACTCTACAAAGATTTCATCGAAGAAATCGAGCAAATTGCATTGTTCAAATATAATGCATTGCCACATTGGGTAAGAATAGAAACTTAGCGTTTGATGGAGTGATTAAAAAGTACAATAACGCACTCGCATTCTTGAAAGTAAAAGAGAGTTATGATCCTAAAGGTTTATTCTCGAGTGAATGGACGGATCAGATCCTAGGGATCAAAGGAAACGTGACAATAGTAAAAGATGGATGTGCATTGGAGGGTTTGTGTATATGTTCGAAGGATGTCATTGTGCCCCGGCCAAAGGCTATTTGTGTCGACCGGGAAAAGTGTACAAAGAGGCTAGGGTTTGTACACGTGTTGATGGTATAATAAGTGTGATTTAAACAGTAAGTTATTAATTTTCATTGCTTCTAATATCAGAAAGTCATCGTCTATATGTGTGCGTTATTGTGATAAATGATATCTTCCTTTTTTTTGTTGTTGTTGTTGTTGTAATAATAGTTATAATGTCATGTTGGACTGTTGGTTGCTATGGGTTACAAGAATTTTATTTTTAGATTCGTGCTATAGTGTTAGTATATCATTTCAATCGGCCGAGCCGAGGAGGAGTTTTTGTAAATCATCGCATGACCACACCTCAATTATTGTTATAATTATTATTGCATGAAAAGACAAAATAACCTCCCCAAAATGCGCAACGTCCCGTGCCTTCCATTGACTCCCGTATAATAGGGCCATATATATATTGTCGACTATATGCAACTCGTCGTCGTCTATCCTTTTTTATTGAACATATACACATTTTGCATAGGACGACGAGGAGAATATTACTTTTTTTTTTTGAAAACGTCGAGGAGAATATTACTAATGAAACAATTTTAAAGATAATATCAAGTCATGCCAGCGCCGATGGGGTTAATTGTCATTGCTATAAAGATACGGATTCCACAATATATGAAACCAAATTAAAAGAATAGATATAAAATCTACATTTCTTTGATTTTGCAAGTCTTTAAGACCATGTGATATAAATGAAACTAACATTGACAGCTCAAAAGTAATGGATCGAATGTTATTAGTCGTTCCTCGTTACTACTACAGTACTATTATATATCTTACAAGCAAGCATGATGCATCTCATCCAGCCTTTTATGAATTTATCAACCAAACATATTTTTGTATAATTTGTTTTTTAAAAAACATATTTTATGTAAATCTCAACAAGCTAGCATGATGCATCACTGAACCGGTCCTTACGCCACACAACCACAATATATACCAGATATTTACAAAAGCCCCATTTGCAAAGAGATTAAACAAAACTCAATAAAAACCATGGCATTCGGTTATTCTCCTTCCTATGGTTCCAACCAAACTGCGTTTTGGCGCACACCTCTCGGGTTATATTGTTTATTTACACTTGTGAACACGGCAATCTCAACACCACCCGAAGATCCTGTTAAATGTGTGTCGGGAAACACGAACTGTACAGTCACCAACTCCTTAGGAGCCTTCCCAGACCGGTCCACATGTCGAGCAGCCAATGTGGCGTACCCAACATCTGAAGCCGAGCTTGTATCTATCGTTGCTGCAGCCACTAAAGCCGGACGGAAAATGCGTGTTACCACTAGATATTCCCATAGCAGCCCCAAGCTCGTATGCACGGATGGAAAAGACGGATTGTTCATTAGCACAAAGTTTCTAAACCACACGGTGCGAGCCGATGCGAAGGCCATGACCTTGACGGTTGAGAGTGGCATGACGCTAAGGCAATTAATTGCTGAAGCAGCTAAAGTTGGATTGGCGTTGCCTTATGCACCGTATTGGTGGGGAGTAACCGTGGGTGGTATGATGGGGACCGGTGCTCACGGGAGCTCATTGTGGGGTAAAGGAAGTGCGGTCCATGATTACGTGACCGAGATCAGGATGGTTAGTCCTAGTTCGGTCAACGACGAGTTTTCAAAGATTAGAGTTTTAAGCGAGACTACGACTCCTAATGAGTTTAACGCCGCTAAGGTTTCTCTTGGCGTTCTTGGCGTTATCTCTCAGGTTAGATCAATTAAATTTTTATTTTTGGGTTTTACTACAAAAAATATATATTTCATATTGTTCAAACCCTTTTTTAATTACAATTGTTTCCCTGTATGAATCTTCTTTTTTTTTTTCCTGAAAAGGTGACTTTTGCATTACAACCGATGTTCAAAAGATCGATAAAGTATGTTATGAGAAACGATTTAGATTTCAATGATCAAGTTCTAACATTCGGGAAAAAACATGAGTTTGCGGATTTTGTATGGCTACCGAGCCAAGGTAAAGTTGTCTATAGAATGGACGACCGAGTAGCGATCAACACGTCAGGCAACGGTTTGTATGATTTCTTGCCGTTCCGTTCACAACTCTCTCCAATAGTAGCCACCACAAGATCATCAGGTTCTTAGATAGCTATCTTTATTTTTCAAGCTTTTCAAAACAGTTTTAAAAAATAAAGGAGACATATTCAAAAAATTGCAAAAAGTTTTTTATTTTATTTTTTATGATCAAACAATTTTCTTTTAATTTGTTTTCATTATACTGAACTTAGAGGAGACGCAAGAGAAATTGAGAGATGCGTATGGGAAGTGTGTGGCAGCCACAACAATTACATCTACGCTGTTTGCTACCTCATACGGTTTGACAAACAATGGTAATTAATTCTTTTCGTTACATTAATACATGGTCGATCTCACACTGAATGTTTGCTACCTCATACGATCTCACACTCACTCCTCCTTTATGTTTCAAATATTCAACGACATTAGGTATTATATTCACCGGCTATCCGGTCATTGGAAGCCAAAATCGCATGATGTCGTCAGGATCGTGTCTAGATAGTCTGGAAGATAAATTGATCTCGACTTGTGCATGGGACTCGCGTATAAAAGGCGTATTTATTTATTCAACAGGTTTCAGTGTTCCTCTCACCCAAGTTAATAGTTTCATCAACGACATCAAGTCTCTTGTCAAGATCGATTCAAAATCTCTATGCGGGCTTGAACTCTACTATGGCATCCTAATGCGTTATGTCACATCCTCTCCGGCTTATTTAGGAAAAGAAACGGAAGCCATAGACTTTGATATAACATATTACCGAGCCAATGATCCGTTAACACCGCGACTATACGAAGATTTTATCGAAGAAATCGAGCAAATTGCATTGCTCAAGTATAATGCATTGCCACATTGGGGTAAAAATAGAAACTTAGCGTTTGATGGAGTGATTAGAAAGTACAAGAATGCGCCTGCATTCTTGAAAGTAAAGGAGAGTTATGATCCGAAAGGTTTATTCTCGAGCGAATGGACGGATCAGATCCTAGGGATCAAAGGAAACCCGACTATAGTAAAAGATGGATGTGCATTGGAGGGTTTGTGTATATGTTCAGAAGATGCTCATTGTGCTCCGACCAAAGGCTATTTGTGTCGACCAGGAAAAGTTTATAAAGAGGCTAGAGTTTGTACACATGTAACTAAGTAACGTTGTTGCTTAACATTTCATAAAATAAAGCCCTCGGTGACAATAAATATTTACATGTTCGTGCGATATTTTCATAATTTTTTTTTTTTTTTTTTCCTTCCAATTTCCAGAAACAATATCATTGTTTACAGCAGCAAAAAGAAAGAAAGGACAAGAACGATACAAAGCCCAATCGTTATTACAGTTGATGGCTTTCTTAGCAAGAATATCAGCACATGTATTTTGTTCACGCGGCTTGAACTTAAAAGAGACCAATGTGAAACGTTGTCGCCATGCCCAGATGGTTTCAAGGTAGTGGTGTAACCGAGGTTTTGGTCTCGTATCATTAATGGCTCGATTTATGTTCTGGTTATCACCTTCGAATTCAACCATCCGGTATCCCAATCCCCACGCGATATTTTCATAATTTTATAGACAGAGTAATCGCTAACACAATAACGAAATTGGAAAATTTACATGTAATTAAAAAAGAAAAATACTTTAATATGTAATGTTGCAAGAGAAAAAGGTCAAAGTCAAAGTTCAGTGTCTTGAAACTCTTTGAGAAGCTTCTCGAATTCCTCTAATCTGTGTCCCCAATCACTCTTGATCCTTAACGGCGCCACGTTACTGTAATCAACACCGTTATCTTCAGTGGACTCGCCCGCAGAGGATGATAACTCCACTCCTCTTATCTTCTTCATCTTCTTTTTACCGGCGTTCGTTCTCTTCCTCTGAGCCGTCGCTCTCTGAATCGCCCAGAGCACGTCTGATCCACTAATCTCCTTCTCCTTCGGGATTGGTTTACTAGGGTTCGAATCGGCGGTGCGGAGGAGGATTTGTTGGCCTAATCCGCCGACGGATTCGGAAGTTTGCGATTTCGTCGGAATGTTAATGAATCGACGGTGGATTCCGTCGTAATTATGCGGCGGCGGATGTGAATAGCCGACGGAGGTTGCTACGGTTGGTCTCATGAGAAATTGAACCGGCATCGCCGCCGGTTTCACGATCCACATAGTAACTGCGAATTTATCAGTCTCCTTTTTTTTGCGGTGGTGGTGGTGAATCCAGTATACACTCTTATCCAGAGGTTTAATGGGCTTTTTATACTAGGCCCATAAAATCTATCCGGCTTTTAAATCAAATGAGTTTTGTGACAGGCCGAGACTATTGTATGAAAATATAATCTTTTACTCAGTGAATACAACATTAGCTTTTCCTTACCTTATCTTTGTCTTACTAAATGACTTTTCTTTTTCTTTTTTTTAACATCGAAGTTCAAATCATTTCAAAAGAAAATAATAAAAAAAAAAATCGACTTGTTTGTCAATAAATTAAAATCCTCGATCTTATGTTTAATATTCTTATAAGTTATAAGATAATAGGTACCAAATTGTTGTACAACAAACAAAATAAAAAGGTCGCAAATTATTAACGATTATTCGTCTAATACATATTTGTGGGTAGATAAAAACTATAAAAGAGGGGAAAGAAAACAAAAATAGCTACACTTTTATAACATATTGTTGACTTATGATAACTTGTAACGTGACTTCACACGCGCGTGTGGTATATTACTTAAAGTTAGGTCACGTGAACTGGATACTTATGAACTGAGTCACCCCACGGGTTACCCACCAATGACTCGTTCGCCGGAATCGTTCTCAACGCTCTCCACACAATACTATTACATTTAAAACCCGACCCGAACGCCAACTGCCAAACCCGATCTCCTCGTTTTACCCGACACTTAGCCTCCACGTAAGCCAGCTCGTACCACAGAGACGAGCTTGAGGTGTTTCCAAAGCGGTGCAAAGTCATCCGAGACGGCTCAAGATCAAACTCACTAAGTCCAAGACCTTTTTCAACCGCGTCAAGTAACGCTCTACCACCAGCGTGAATACAAAAATGCTTGAAACATAGTTTAAAATCCGGAACATATGGACTAGCTTTTAACCGGAAAAGCTTACTCTTTACCATAAAGATGATAAACCGGAGCTTTTCAGATAAAGGCAAAACAAGCGGACCAAGTGCTGTTAGATTCGTCTTTAACGTGTCACCAGCAACAACCGTTAGTTCTTTAGAGAGTGCGACTCCAACGATACCTTTATTATCTTCTTTTTGTTCAGCACAAGTGTAATGTTTATCGCTAGAGCCTTTGTGAGTCCTTACGAGATGAGTCAATTCGTACTTAGACCGGAATCGGTCCTGGCTCCGGTTTGAGAGCAAAACCGCAGCGCCACCTACTCGGAATAGACAGTTAGGGACTAACATTGACCGGTCGTTGCCTCGATACATGCTTAGAGTCATGTTCTCCGTGCTAACAATAACTGCGTAGGTATTCGGGTTTGCCTTAAGTAGATTTGTGGCGAGGTCAACGGAGATTGCGCCGGCGCTGCATCCCATACCGGAGAGATTGTAAGTTTTGACGTCGGTTTTGAGCTTGTACCGGTTTACAATCATGGACGAGAGAGATGGGTTAGGGTTAAACAAGCTGCAGTTTACAATGAAGATTCCGACTTCTCTCGGTTCGATTCCGGTTTTCTTGAATAGTGAGTTAAGAGCTCCGAAGATTACTAATTCGGATTCATGTCTCGCCTCGTACATTGATGGAGTTGGTGGAGAGGTTAACATGCAACGTGGGGAGTACGTATCGTCTCCTAAACCGGACCGGTTTAGTATCCTCGTCATGAATTGGATTGTTTCTTCGGTGTAGAGTTGAGCGCCTTTGGCCATGTTGAAGAACGTTTCGGATGAGATTTTGCATGAGTCGGTGGGTTGGTGACATGAGAAATCCACGAGGTAAACCGGTTTAGACCGGGTGGTTGAGTAGGCATAGAAGAAGATGGATATCATGAGTAAACCGATCTTGACCCAAAAAGAAGAGAAGAAGTCATGGTGAAAATGAAGTAGATCAAGTTCAAAGAGAGACAGAAGGATGAGTATAAGCAAAAGAAGCTTGAAATCTGCCATTGCAATGAACATATGAGAAAATATTGGTCATTGGGTGGGGTTTTAATTTATAAGCAACGTACCAATATTTAGGGTATGAATGATGGCGTTAAGCGCGTTTGTGCCGCGGAAAATAAGGTCTGCGTTTTAAGGTTATCGTTTTATTAAAACAAAAATCGTTACGTACCACAAATTGTACAAATAGGTGAACGCACTTTTAAAAAATGGCCGTCTTTTTGTGACTTTATACGTACAAGAAACATGAATACGACCATTTTAAACAAGAAACATACAAAAAAGTTTTGACCACGATCGAGTTTAAAGTTATCTCAATTCACTAATTAAACATTTTAACTATTCGAATTGGTACCATGTTTATTACAAAACATGTACTATATCAATTATTTGTGTAATGATTGTTTCGCATGGATGCACCGGTTACACACTTTCAAGCATTAATAAATTAATTTCGCATGGAGTATGTGAATTGATAGTGTGTGAAACTTTTGACACTTTACCTGAAAGAAGTGTATTAGAATCATGTGATTTTCCTCAAATTGATTTGTGTAGTTAATTAATGAATCCAAAAGAGGAAAGTAGAAAAAAGAAAGGACTAGTCTCTAAAGATAGATAGAATTTATTACGGGTCAGTGTTTGGTTGGAGATTTGTCAGCTCATTTTAAATTGTAGTTGAAGTGGTCAGTGGCTGGCCAAGTTGGAAGTGGGCCAATGAGAAACTAATATTGAGACAGTGTACTCGTACGTTTTCTGTGGGTTGGTTGGACCATTTAATTTATGAAAAATACATATAAAGTCACAATTATTTAGCAGCCGGATGTTGTTGTATCCAAACTCTCATTGTAATTGACAAAGATTAGATATGCAAATAAATGCTATACAACGTTCGCTTCTCTAAAGAATCTGATAAGCCATGCATTCTCACCAATAGCTACCATGCTTATGAAAATCCACACTCTATATGTTTTCCTTGTCATCCATATTCAAAAGTTCAAAACACCAAACGCAGTTGCGATAAATCTGGAACTCCTGGATTAATATCTCTTCACAGAATGTCATTATATTGATTAAGATAAATCGTTTGAATATGTACATGGTTCCCAGAGAATGAAAGCGAAGTCGATTCTCCATGATCGATCTCTGCAAATTAAATAGCTAACCAAACAAACTCTATATATAGAAACTATACAGAAACTCTATATCACATATTCACATGTATCTACCACTATATTTGTTTCGTATGTTTCATTAGTTTCGTTGTGCATTGATTGTATCGTTGTACTATTTGAAGCCTATAAAAAAAAGATTAAAAATAATGGTAAATTGAGGAAGTCTGAACCAAAATTAATGTATTTCTAAAAATCATTTAGAAACCCTCTCAACCAAAACTCAAACTAGGGGATCCAGATTCCAGACTGTTGGCTCCTTTAATTTGGAAAGGCATGACGTTAATGGTTCGCCACTAGCCCAACACTTAGCGGGATACCTTGGGTTGCTGATTACAATCTAGTAATTTTCTTAAGATGTGTAAGAATGTTGTAGTATTTTTTTGAAGAGGGGATATAAATATATTCACTACGTGCATGCACTCTCGCCCAATCATATTTCATGGTTACAAATATCATATTTAGTTTAGATCTGATCAAAGAAGTTTTGGTTGATTAACACTCAACTAGTCAAAAATCATAAAAAAGAAAGAAAGAGGAATGGTAGGTAAAAAAAAAACGAAGATTAACTTTAGTTTAAAGCTAAAATGTTCACAGCTAAGCTTAGATTTATTATATGCGACAAAAAGGTTATAGTCAGATTTAATGTAATACGACTTCTGATATTGACAAACAAGTAGATGACTGATTATTAATTATCATATAGGTAAGGGTGCTACGAATATATTTTCTAGTTTTATTCATTGCTACCAAATAATCGTAATAAAGCAATTCACATGGACGAACGAGGATAAATATCGCTTGTATTTATTGCATTCACTATTTCAATTTTGAAGTGTACGTGTCTTTGAATTCGGGGAGATGAATCTCTCTTTTTAAGTATAATCTTTAGTTTTTTGTTGCTGGTGTAGCTGATCGCTTTCAACTGTTGTAAGTTGTGTAACTGCCTGTAGTTGAAACATGACGAAAACGTAAAAGAAAAATCTGACCGATAATACTAGTTTCGCATCAATAAAAGGATACATGATGAATACTTCTAAAAAAAAATAAACGTCTTCTTTTGTTTTTTAATAAAATCAATGTTTCGAATAGTGATCAAGACTCTATTAACTTATTAATTCAGCCAGATTCCCCACTCTAGGACGACCTAATATGCATTACGTACTAATTAAAGTTACTTCTTTGAATGCGTGATTTAATTCGGATGTACTGAAACATTCTTCTAACAATTATTGTGATTAAATGTTGAATTCAATTTTCTTTTGGTATTTGTTTCAAGAATCTCATGATAAAATATCTACACGGCTTAATTACAAGATCTATGATTGATTTTGACACTGAATTACCTGGAATAATTTGATACTAGTATATGGTATATGCTCATATAACCTTCTATGGTATGATTTATCTAATCACTGTAATTTACGGCAGAGATTCTTATAGGAACAGAGACGACTCTGTTGTTGGAATAGAGAACGGCTCTGTTTTTGTGAATAGAGTATACATGAGTTTTCTCTTAGACAAGAACTAGCATACATTTGTTTCCATTTCTGAATTGATTGGATATAAATTTATCCCTATTTCAAACAACTAACACCTATAATCATATTTCACAATATTTTTTACACTCTCAAAAACATGAAAAATAAAGTGAGGTAGGAAAATTTTACCAAGGCAAAGACGAGAGACGTGAACTCCAAGCTTCTCGTCCTTTCCTTCCTTCATCTCGATTACTTACAAAAGCTTTCTTTGTGGATTTGCTTAACTGAAACAGTGGATGCTTACATAACCTTTGTACCGGTCCGATGTTTTCATTACCCGATGAAGAATTTAAAACAGCTTCATGATCGTTTCTCTTCTTTTTGTTCCAAAACTTTTCTTCATTGTCAGCCTCTAACCTACACAGAGTAGCCACTCTCAAGAACTTAGGGTTATTATTGTTGGGTTTCTCAGGGCTTAATATCTCAGAGTGTTGTGATTCCCATTCTTCTGATGGATTCGATGTTTGTTTCTCGAGCCACCTTGCTTTCGCGTCTGCGTTGTCCCTCTCTTTGAGGTTCATTAAGATCAAAGTCTTGAGAAAGTTCATCACTTGCACCGCGTGGATTAGTGCAGTTAAAGGATCTGCCATCTACAATATCAAAAACATTTTCATGAGAACTAAAACATATATAACTAAAGTATCAAAGCTTATATAGAATTAAAACTCAATTTTTCACTGACTTGAGTCATGTTTGGGGCAAAGACCATAGCTACATTGCGAGCATTCATTTTATTAAACTGTTCATGCTCCACCACATCCGCCATTAGACCAATGGCCCAGTCGAGAAGCGCAGATTCAACGGGAGGAAGAAGTATCACTAGCCGGCTACAATCCTCCTCTGTGTTACACCTCATCACTTGATCTGGTGTCAACACGTCAAGCACTCCTGTAGGTAGCTCCCTAAACCATGCCTGATTCAATTCGAAAACCGAAAGACAAAAAACTCAAATCTTTTGAACTTAAAATGTTATAGAACCTAATCAAAAAAATTCCTTTTTTCCACCTTTATTAATCCTGCCAAGCAATGAACGTCAATTCCACGTGGTACCACACCGCGGTTTAGCTGTCGTCGGACATGCTCTTCTTTGCCGTTGTCTGGATTAATTCGGAATATTCCTTCTGCCTTAAGGTAACAAAAAAAGCATACATTATATCATACTCTTTCGATTCCAAACTAATCCAAATTTTTCACGAAACAGAAGAGGGTAGAGACTTACTTTAAGACCTCCTTCGGTGTATAGACGTTTTTGCATCCTGAGAAGGATTGTTGGGACACTATTTCCTCTGTCGTCATAAGAGCATTGCATTGACTTTGCCGATACTCCAAATACACTTACACTGAATAAAAAATAACCAATCTTTACTCATAGACAAACCAATATATTCGATCATATAAGAACCCATTTTTCTCTTATACAAATGAATCTAGAGAAAACATATAAGCTCAACCGTTAGCTAGAAAGAACCAATCATTCTATCCTATGCAAAGTAACCAACTTAGTGAAAACTCACAAGTAACATTAAAAATAATCAGTCACTCTTTTACTTCACAAATCCATCTACGGAAACCCATAAGTTTTACAAATGAAGATGAGCTATCTATTTCTTTTTAAAAAATTCATGATTTCCATTGTTTTAGTCGTACATGTTAGGAATAAAAAATACGAAGTCGATTTTATAATTTGTTTACTCCTTTTTTTATGTCAAATTTGTTGTGTAATCGTGTTTTTGTTAATATGTCCATGGGACCCAAAATTTTGTCTATACAAACCAATCTCTAAGCAGGAAAGCCCAAAAATCATATCATGATGTTGTGAAAGCTTAAACACTAATCCCCAGTTCCGGGATGTGTCACTCAATCAGTACTTCATGAAGCCATGAGTTGGTTAAAGACCAAACTTTATGTCTAAATAGTTTCATATTGTTTGTGGGTTAGAACTTAGTTCTTGAATTTACGGACCATTGATTATTCTTGATATATAGAGAAAAAACAAAAAGAGAATCTTCCATTGCGAAGAAACGAGTGTGTCGTAAATTCGTAATCATGCATTTAAATCCAAACAACAACCATCTTAATGATTCTATGCAACACAGTAACATGCCATATACAGATTTCCAGCTATGAAAATATATATTTAATTCCCCCTATCTTAATCATTTTTTCAAGATATATGGAATAAAATATCAATTTCATTTTTTTGTTGAAATATTATTCCATAATTCCTCTTCGAGGTAATAACTAATTAATTAATTAATGACGGACCTGGCGCTAGGAGCTCGAGGAGGAACCTCCGGTTCGAGCTCAGACGGAAGACCAAGAAAACCATTAAACCGGTCAAAAGTCACGTGACTCACGTGCTTAACCTCCGTCGGCCAACCTATATCCATAGACGCCGCCACGTCATCGTCCCCTCTCTCCATGGCACACGACATCACCAACGACTTCCTCAGAACCGCCGCAAGCAGGTCTACGATCGTTAACTGACCCGACCCGGACCCGTTACCGGATCTTGACGCGTGTGAGCTCAACGGCGTTGAAGCGTCGTAGTAGTCTGTGCTCGTAGTGCTATGTCCTTCCTCGTACTCGTCGTCATCGTTGTGGATGTTCTCGTATATGTCTGGACCGGGTCGAGTCGGTTTAAACTCCGGGAAACCGATAGTTCCGGTTGATTTGGATCGGGAGAAGTTAGTCATCGTTTCTCTTCTGTCTCTGCCGGATAATATGAGAGAATGTAATGTTAATGGTAGAGTTTAGAAGAAGAAGCTTTGAATGTGAGAGAAAGAAAGAGATAGAGAGATATAAGGGATTGTTTGGTGAGAAAGAAACTGCGAGAAAACGAAGGAAATTTTACAGAAAATCGCGTAGAAACAAAGGGACGATTCTTTTCATTTTTTACTTATATTTTTCTTTTTTGGGATCTGTGTTTAGTGGATAGGGAGAAAGAGTGACGGAGACGTAAATGAAAATGATACTCCACTTATGGAGTAAAATTCATGGTTTTGTACAGTGGTGAAAAACATAAATAAATTAAAAGATATATAGAAATGTCTAATGATAAGATTTTAGATTAGACTACGGCTCGTGAAGCTGCCTAGGAGATGATTAGATGAGATGGGTGACAAGTAAGAATGGGGGACATACGAGTCAGTGTTGTTTTTTGGAACTTTCTTTGATTTTGTCTTATATTTGACATAAGTCATAAGCAATTTTGTTTTTAAGGCTCTAGTGTCTCTGTAACTCAATGTTAGGATCCTTCCCTCTCTCTTTTTTTGTTTACCAATTAGAACGTATGTATACAAAGTTTTTTTGTTCGATTGTTTATAAATATTGAAACCATGATTGATGATTAAACCTATACGACGTCGTTGTAAGTGGGGGCGACGATATAGAATCGACATCACAAAAGACGACTTCGCTGTAGTGTCCTGGCTATTTTTTGTTTTTGGGATACGTTATCACATGTTTACATGTGCATTGGTTCGTTGTTCTTTTATCACGTCAAATACACAATTAAACATTGTGTATCGTATTGATTCTTACTTTCCATGATCCGTTAAGTGAAATTATATGAGGGAAACAAAAAAAAGTGGTTTGTAATTTTTCTAATAAACGCTCGGTGACAAACTGACATCATATTTTTCTAATAACTCATAGATAGCTCAAGTCGTGCTTAATTCAGTAGTTCAAGATTAAAAATAAAAATAGATAAATAAACGCTTTATGTTTGTTTAGTTACGGATTATTAGAGAAGGATCGTGCTTGGTGTTTATTCGATATCATCATTATTGGTATAATCTTTTTCTTTTCATTATTAGACCACATAATGCTAATGCACTCTCGCTTTACAATAATTTTATTTCTCATTTAAAAGGATAAATTATTCATCGTTTTCGATTTTATTTAGATAGGTTATGAACTTATGATTGTTTTCTTCTCCAAAGTCCAACCCGCAAAATATTTTATCAAGAGGATACATTATCGTAATTTATTGCACCGTATACAATATTGTGGGTATAATCATTGAACTGACGGTGTTAAATCGGGAGCATAGTTAACGATCCGGAGAAGAATCTAGACAAGAAAATTAACGCCGTTAATGATTTAGCACTGGTTCACGTGACGTCTTCTGTTTTAATTCATCGCTGCCGTAGGATGAAGACATTATAACAAACAATCCGATGATTCACGTGATGTCTCTTGTTTATTTTACTACTGTATAATGAGTTTAAAATAACCTAATGTTCCTACAATTTAATGTTGATTATCTTCTCTATATTGTCACTGAAAATGTAATCAGTAAATATTAAGATTAAATCAAACTTTTATTTCCTTAAAACCGGATTTAATATCTCTACTGGTTTCCAGCGTGTGATCTGTTAATTGTCACATTTAAAATATAAAATTTAGCATAAAGTTTTCTTGTTAAAAATGTAGCATAAAGTTTTCTTTAGGAAAAGCAACAGTTTTGGTTTATGAATATTTATTTGTTGTATTCCCGTCGAGGCGGACAAATGTTTGCCACTTGAAAACTTTTTAACTTTCGAAAGCAAACGTCATTTTAAGTTTTTAACAACCGCTGTCAACATTGCAATAGTGTGTTACAAATTATTGCAGTAAGATAAGATCTACAACGTTGTATGTTTTAGACATTATACAAATACCAAGAACAATTTTACAAATTGCCATATACTTAATTTTGTTTTATAGTTAATTACTAGTTGAGTAGTTGTTAGTTGTTTAAAGTATTTTAACTCTAACTAATAGGATAACATAAAAAATGTTATACAAAATTTGCATATAAAAACGTTAACCACTAACCATAGATATAGATGTTACGAAATTTGTTGAATATAACTATCTGATATTAAAAAAAAAACAAATGGTAATAGAGATCAAATACCAAGGAAAAAAATATTGAGATGGTTAGTGGAGGTACAAACGCATGCGCGGAATCTATGAGCAGAGATGGCTTTAGTACTTAGCAATAAACAAAATACATTGCTGATGCAATGCAAATGGATTTAGTCATTTCAATTAAAAAATATAATTAAAGGCCAAACGTAACTACTATTGTAGTAGTATTTACATGCCATAAAAAAAAGGAGTAGTATTTATATTTTGTTTGTTTTAATCATTTCATTTTTTTGGTAGGATGCCAATAGAAGAAAAACAAGCTAACATAACAATAAATTAGTTATTTATGACCAAATATGGCTGGATGCACACATTGAAGAGAACATTCAAGTAATTAGACTCCATTTGTTAATTAAGTATGCAATAATGTAAATCAGTACAAAACAATAATGCATCAGTAAATATATACAAAAACTTTTCCTAGTTTGCCGGTTTTTATAGTGTATATATTTTATATAGTTTTTTGATGAACCAAATTAATTAGTGACGTTCTTATTGTGTGGATTTTTTCCTAGTAAGTAGTAACCATCGATTAATTGACTTTGTAGCTTGCTGTATGATGCTGGTCATTCAATAGTTATCATGTACCGTAGATTTTTCGGATTTTATATGAATCAGTTTATATAAAGAAAAAATTAGAAATAAAAGAAGTCTAAAAAAAGTTTGACCATATACATTTTTTTTTAGAATGTCACTTTGGATTTAAAGAAATTATGGTTACACGTAGTGTTACGGTGTCAGATAGTTAGTCCAAATATAATATAGAAAATCACAATGAAAGTATAATGTATATGCGTCTGCGAAAATTATCATATGATTCCAACAATCCAACAACTCCAAAAAACACCGGTCCAAATGTTCGACTGCATGCTTCTTGCAGAAGCAAAATATAAAATAAAATTTAATTGTTTATTGTAAATAAGCATACTTTTATCTATAAACAACAATACAACGTTCACGCATGTATGTATAGATTAGGGATCCTAATAAATCATTAAGTTAAATACAGTAAGTGATATTGACATATATTCGTATGATTGTTTAATATTGTTAGCTTCAAAGTCACTCTTAGATTTTAAAATTTGTATCGTCACTATATTTAGGTGTTGTGGCAACGACCTTAACCGAAACCACACCAACTAGTGTCCAGAGAGACAAGTGCCCTTTCCAATGTTTCGTTTGATTTAATCCTTAAGATATACTGATCAATTATAATCCTTAGGATATACTAATCAGTTTAATTTTAGAAATTAAAAACAAAACCAAAAATTTAATCAGATCTGTGGGATTTTTTTACGTACTGTGATTCGTCGACTTATATGCATTTTCGATCGGATCACTTGATCATTTCCGTACTTGATCTGAAAAAATCATACAAAAATTGTAAACTATATATAAGCATTACCATTCTCGTGATGTTCTTAGTGAAAAATTGTGGTCTCAAATTTTAGTGTATATTTATGATTTATCAGTCACTCATGCATTTGATCGAATACTTAGATGGTAAATAGTCAGATGTTTAGAAACAAAAAATTGATGGTAAATATTATATTGGGTTTTGTGCAAAAAAAATCCTCGAAGTAACCAATTTTTGCAAGAAAACCTTCCATCTCAAATAAATGTAAGTCAATACCACCATCTCAAAAGTCACCCGCAATATAGCCCTCGCGTGTATCGATGACGTGGCAGCCGTTAACTCCGTTCCAAAACGTCACGACAAGTGAACTTTTGTGCAAAAAAACCCTCAAAGTAGTCAAGTTTTGCAAGAAAACCCTCAAAGTAGCCAAATTTTGTGCAAAAAAACCCTCAAAGTAGCCAATGTTTGTTTTGAAAAAGCGACTGTTGGAGAATTCGATTGTACAGGGAAGCAAAGGAAACAATATGGTAATAATCGATTTTGATATCTTCTTAAATTTATGATCATTGGCATGATCAAAGTAAGACATGGTGGAGCCATTTATACGAGAAGGAAAAATCTAGGGTTTAACAGAAGAATTCTGTAAAATTTACATAAGTTTTCTGTAAACCTAGTAAATCTTCTGTAAAAGCCCAAAGTCGTCGCAAAAGAGACAAAATATTTAGTAAGGCTCAGAGCCTCGAAAAACGTGCAAGCCACGAAATCAACTTCTGTACGACTCAGAGCTTCGAAAAACGTGCAAGCCACGAAATCAACTTATATAAGACTCAGAGCCTCGAAAAACGTGCCCGGCACGGAATCACCTTCTGTAAGGCTCAGAGCCTCGACAAAACATATATTACTTCTCTAAAAATAATAGCTAACTCTTGCGTATATTTCGTATTCTCGTTCACTCGAATTCCATCTCTGTAATCACAGAAGCACGATTATCGTTAATAAGAGAAATATCTCTGTTCGCTCCCAAAAACTCGTACTTATTTATTATTGCAACTTCGGTACGAACAATAGGGTGAATAGATTTACATACAACAATTTTTATTTTTGGGTATTATAGGAAAACCCGAACCCGTACCCGAATTTTAAAATACCCGAAAGGTTTTTTTTGCAAAAATTGGTTTAATGAAGGGTTTTTTTGCAATTTGGCTACTTCGAAGGTTTTTTTGCACAAAACCCACTGACGGAGTTAACGGCTGCCACGTCATCGATACACGCGAGGGCTATATTGCGGGTGACTTTTGAGATGGCGGTATTGACTTGTATTTATTTGAGATGGAGGATTTTCTTGCAAAAATTGGCTACTTCGAGGGTTTTTTTTGCACAAAACCCTCTATAAGTTGGTTCATGCATGTTCAGGATTCGGCCTAGAAACGGGTTGATATTGGGCCTGTATTGGGCTGAATTGTTTCCCTTTGTACTTTAAGAAAGATTTACATTGTTAACGACAAGTTGGGCTTAATTGTGTCGGGCTCATGAGATTTTTTTATATATTATAATTTACCAACATATTTAAACTTTTTCTGACATATGTATGGATTCAAATCCAAAATATATATAGAAAGTTTTTTTATTTTTTTGGATAAAAGGCTTAAAATATATAGATTGTTGAGAATAATATATATTTAGTTTATGGATCCAGATATTTACAATTACATCTATAAATTGTGGATAGAATCATATGCATTGGCTAATTATCTAGGTTCATAGATGTTTGTAAGAAAGAATATATATATACTGACGGTGTAAATAGGTGAAAAATAGATCAACATTTACATGAATACTTTGTAGGCAGCTGGTCAAAGTTTAAATTGTAACTGATGATTTAATTTCAAATCTACCATTTTTTGGTCGAGAACCACTTGTTTAAATCTACAAAGTAGGTGGGAAAAAAAAAGACGTGAAAGGAAATATTGTGTCATATTAGATATTACTCGCTTATAAATAGTGGATTTAATATATTCTTTCTTTCACAAAGAATGTCATTCTAACATTTTTCACACAAATTAAAAAAATAAACAAATATTAATTCTACCTCTTATTAATACACTAAAGAATACTCTCTTTAATTAATAAGCCAAAATAGTGAGATTAAAAAAGAGACTTAATCTTTAAAACTGCTTAGAAAACACAAAACGATATTCTTTATGAAACGAGATTAAAACTTTAAAACGACACTTTTTGTGAAACGGAATGAGTATATTTTTAGATACATGTTTATTATATTATCAATCTGCT